TATCTTTTCTTAATTGCACTTATACCATTACAGAAAAGGTTGAATATTTTACTGATATTGATTGGTCATTTTTATTCTTATTTTAAGAATCCTTAACCAATTTGTCAACTAGAATATCTATTTGCACACTGATTTATAAAATTAGCCTTTTGTCATATATGTTGTGAATACTTTTTTCAATGTAAATAATCAACTGATTTGGAATGCCATATTTATCATAGACAAAATGCTTATACATGCTTCAGTCTGTTTCTATTTCATTGATTTCTCTCTTTATTCTAGTGTAAGTACTGTTTTGATTGATTATTGAAATACATCTTAATCTCTGGGGTAGAACATGTATTTTTTTCCAACATTTAAATTTTCTAAACTTGGTATAATTTATGTATAGTAAATCACGCATGCTTATGCAATTTGATGAGTTTTGATAGATGTATATACTTATGAAACCTCCACCACCACAATCAAGATACCAACATTTTCATCACCCCACAAAATGTCCTCATGTGCTTTTGCAATCTGTCTTCCCCTCCATTCTTGTCCTCAGACAACCACTGATTTGCCTTCATTACTAGGTTAGTTTACATTTTCTAGAATAGTCTATAAGTGGAATCACATAGTATGTACTCTCTTATGTTTGACTTTTTTAGTTCAGCATTATGGTTTAGAGCTTCCTTCATGTTTTTATGTGTATCAGTAATTTCTCCCATTTTATTATTGAGTAGTATTCCATTGTACAAAACATTTTGTCCATTGAACAAAAATTCCATCACAATTTTTTGTTTTTACACTGTTTTATGTTGTTCCCTGTTTTTGGCTATTACAAATAAAATTAGTATCAACATTCATGTATAAGTCTTTGTGTAGATGTGTATTTTTATTTCTCAGGTAAATGCTTACAAAAGGAATGGTGGGTTTAAAAATACCACATATTTTAATATGTCTAATTTTTAAAGAAACTTCCGATATGTTTCTAAAGTATCATATTTTACAGTTTCCAAACTAGAGCATATATTTAAATTTTTGAATTTTATTATTCACAGAAGGACTAAATTGTCTGTTTCTAATAGACTATGACTGGGGCAGACTTTTTAGCACTTTTCTAAAGTTTTGTTGATGGATTATTATCATGTTCTAAAATAAGCACATGTTTTAGTTATGTTGGCCTTAAGGATCTGGGTATTCCCACATCATAAAGTAGATAATAGACTGAATTTCACTTGTGACTACATTTTTTAAATTGTGGCAAAAAATCACATAACATAAAATTACCCTCTTACCAAGTCTTAAAATGTGCAGTATAGTTCGTTAACTATATTCATACTGTTGTATAGCAGATCTCTATAGCTTTTCCTGTGAATCCATTTAAAAATATACATTTTGAAATAAAGTACAATATTATATGTAATTACCTTGGATTGTCTGGATTTTAATTCCAGCTCTTCTATTTGTGAGATCTTAGACAAATTACTTGATCTCTCTTGGGCCTTGGTCTCCTCATCTGTATGATGAGGATAATAATAATAATACCTACTTGTCAGGTGGTGTTGGGAGCAGGTAACAGGAAAAGGCTATAGACAGTGTTGTGTGACACACTGTGAGCATCCATGAAAGTCAACTATTATTCTTATGTTTTGCCTTTTAGAGGAAGAATGAAAATTATAAAACAGATGGCTTTTATTTAAGTTCTATCTTTAATATTTTCATTAAAGAAATGTATTCTCTTTATAATCAGTTATTGTATATATATTTATCATGCACAAGTCATCCAAAACGCCTCCTTCCAACATTTGTTTTGTTTTGTGGGATGTTGTTGTTTCTCTACTAAACAGAAGGTAGGGGAACAGAAAAGAGCTGTTCTCGTAATGTATTATTGAAAGGTTTAGGGACTTAAATATTTGTGAAATAGTATTATGCCATAAAGCACTGGTTTAGAAATCAGACAAAAGACTTAAAATTCTAGCTGAGTAAATTGCTAATCATTCTTCTCTCTCAGTAAAATGGAAATGATAATTCATGAACTTTCCACTTTGTAAGGCTGATAAGAGGATCAAAATGAGGTAATTTCTGCTAATTCCAGCAGAAACATACTGACTTCCGTTTTGGCTAGAATTATAGGACATTTAACCTGTAATAATGTTTTACGTATACTAATTTCTTAGGGAAATAAATGGTCATAACTTACTGCCAGAGATTCCATCTTTTCAAGAATCCTTTTAGCTCAGATTATATTACTTCTACATTTGTCAAATAAATTTAATTTTTACTTTATGGCTCCCTGTTAAGAGCTTACTTAACATTAGAATTTTTTTTCATTTTCTAGGCTTGTTTACAAATTGAACCTACTGAGAGGATATCGTCTACTGATCTTTTGCACCATGAGTACTTTACTAGAGATGGATTTATTGAAAAGTAAGCATTTTGAGTGAGTGTGGACTTTTTTAGGGTTTGTATTAGGAAATGTTACTAGCATGCAGATTGGTCATAGGTTAACATTACACAACAGAAAAATTCAATTTAGCAGAAACTTACTGAGTTTCTGTATTGACTAGGTATATTGTAGACTTAGAGGTGTCATAATGAAAATTCTAATAATAAAAATAATTGCATTTAACATTCATTACATAGTTACTATGTTTTAGGCAATGTGCTAAGTGCTTTATAGATATTTTCAATGGTCATGATAGGCGAGAGGTAACATTAACTGAGCAATCAGTACTTCTTAGCTTGATTGCCATTTGGATATCTATCTCATAATGCTCTGGTTTTTCCTCTTCGGATAGCATCTCTGATCTATATAATTAGCATTCATTTACCAAATGATTTTTTTCTCTGTTTTACTTATTCTCTGTTGCAGTACCTGATGTTTTATTTTCTCTACCAATTGGAAGTTGCCTAAAGAGAGGGACCATGCCTCTTGCGGACCTTTTGTGTCCCACACGGTGTATGTAATATGTAATCACAATAAGGATTCATAAATAAAAGATGTTTAAAAAAACTCCACTGTTTTCTATTTGGGCTTTGAAAGAAACAGGAAATTTTCTCATTAACTGCAAAATCATTCAGTTGGCCTTTGACTGTGAGGTCAGAAACATGAATGACAATTGAAAATGTGATGGAATTAAGGTCAGGCATGGAAAAGTCCAAGAACTGCCATTGAAGATAGACAAAAATTTTAATAAGGCTAAGAAAAAAATCATCCTTGGTAGTAACTAGAACTTCAGGTATTTCAAGAATTTTAATCTACAACAAAAACATGAGAAGAATATATATTGAAAGTGCCATTGATAAAAAGTGCCAGTTATTGAATAAAATAGTTACTTTGTATCAGTTCTACGCAGGCTTAATTGATTTCCCTTGGGCATTTAGGTACTAGGATTTTACTATTATGAGGTGAAAGTTCTTGAATTCCAATTATCAAACCCTCAGAAAATGTTTGGGGAAGATCTCTTCCTTTGATAAGAGGACTTTTCTTTTTGCAGACTTGCAATGCAAGGGAGTTTTGACAGAGGGTGACATTTTCTCACTGAGCCAAACTAATCTCGCTGGCCATTTTCTTCCCTCTTCTCACACTACCTTTTACTAGACATGTGCCCTGGCACTGGCAACACTGGGCTGAACTAGGTAGGAATTCATTCATGGACTGGTATTTTAAAATATCCCAAACTGATAGCAATGGCTGCTTTGAGGATAGAACTGTGTAACCAGGGACAGAGACAGGAAGGAGAACTCTCAGTGTAGCTTTTTGATTTTTTAGCCATGTCAGTGGATTTCCTATTCAAAAATAAATTTAAAAAAAATAGAAAGTCAAACTGAAACTAGAACAACTTCCCTTCAATATTAATATACTTTGTTACATTTTTGTACTGAAAATATTTCTCTAGAGTAGGATTTCAGAAGCTAGTTAATCTTTTAAGTTATTAATGAACCACAAAAAGAACAAAGTGGCCTGAGTCTTCTTTGGAAAAAATAGTATATTTATCAAAATTAAAAGCAATATTTTTATTGAGTAAAGTTGGCATTACAAGAGTAATCTAATTCATATAAAACTATTTAAAAAAATTTTATATAGTAAATTCCAATGGTAAAATTTTTGAAAGATGTATCTTTACCAGAAAACAATTGATATTAAGTATTGTACCATCTCTTGGCATGCATTAATGATGACTTATTTATGCTATAGCTGAAATGTAAATTAGTTGATTAAATGTTCAATTAAAGATTATCTACATAAATAGAAAGATAGTTGGTTGATATTGCTTGTTTTGTCAGATTCTTACCAGAACTAAGGGCTAAATTACTACAAGAAGCAAAGGTCAATTCATTTGTAAAGCCAAAAGAGAATTCTAAAGAAAATGAACTTATGAAAGGTGAAAGAAAAACAATTTATACCAATACAGTCCTAAGTACATCAGTTCTGGGAAAGGTAAAAACTGGTTTTCTTTCTCACTAGTATAACTGTATTATAGTTAGCACTCTAATGATAAAAATAACTGTTTTCCTGACTCATATTTTTGGGTGTATGTGTTCCAGGAAATGGGAAAAGAGAAAAAGCCCAAGAAGATCAAAGTCAGAGTTATTAAGGTCAAAGGGGGAAAAGGAGATGTTGTAGAACCAAAAAAGATAGACTGTGAAGGTGCACATTGTCGACAGGATAAAACTGAAAATGCTCATACTATATCTCAAGATATGAAACCTACAATCAACGAACCCCCAAATTCTGTCAATGCCAGCACTGATTCTAATGGCATGAAAGATGATCCACGTGCTAGAGGTAGTACGATGATGCCACCCATTAAACTGACTAGCAGTAATTTGATGGCTTCAAATCCCAGTTCAAATCTCTTCCACTCCAATTCAAGGTGAGTTGCAATAGAAAAGAGACAGATGAAAATGGACTTAAATAATACAATGTTCCTGTATAGTAATTCCTGTATAGTAACATTTCAGAGAATTAAGCTCATGGTGTCTGTATATAAACTGGATTTGAAGATTTATTGAAATTATAATCATAATAGTAATTACTGAGTGCTGCTTATGAATTTTTTTGGTGTTATATATATACTTTTTATTAAAGTATCATTGATATACAATCTTATGATGGTTTCACATAACACAGTAATTTCAACATTCACCCATAATATCAAGTCCTCAGCCCCTCTATTGCAGTCACTGTCTATCCGCATAGTAAGATGTTATAGAGTCATTATGCTTATGAATTTTAAAGAAGAAATTAACCTTCCTTGGCTGTATAGTTATTCAGTTTTTTACTAATGCCTTTTAGAAAAACCTCATATTTTAAAAAGGCCTTCAGAAAAATTTCTTCCCGCTTGAAGAAAAAAGGGTGATATGATCTAAGTTCTGGTATTGACGCGCTTTGGTATAACAGTAAGCTTTATTTCTGTATCACGGCAAATTCTAGGAACAGAGAAAGGATAGCTGAAAATAATCTTTTATAATCAGCCTTTCAAGTTAAAATACTTTGTGAGGAAAACAACATATTAGGTCAGTTTTAGACTTTGCTACTGATACAGATTGAGAGGCTGGTTCCATAAGTCTAGTTCATCCAGAACAGCGATGGAGAGCAAAGGTCTAACAAGGCCATCAGAGCCAGTACTAAATATAGGGAAACTATATGAATCTAGGTGAGGAAGGAAAGGAGATGATTCAGTATCCCAAGTCAATGTTAGCAGACTGGTTGGGCTATAAGTTCTGAAGCTTGGAGGTCCACAGAGGTGAACAAGAATTCAAAAGGTATAGCGGTCTTCAGATAGCAAGAGCCCAGTTGTCTTTGAAATGTTCCTACGTTCCTAAAACCATAGTTGCAATAATCATGGTTGTAAATCCGCCTTGGACAGCAAGTTCAGAAATGCAAAAGCTTAGTATTTAAGAGATCCAGGTTCACAACAGATAAAAGGGACCAAGTAGACCAGCTGGAGTAACTGCACAGCATGGCTTTTACACTGATGTTAACCATGAGTGAGTTATGCTCCGCTGTTTTCACTTCTCTACTTAGAGTAATTGACACTTAAGGACTAACAATTGCATTTTAGCACTCAGTGTTCAGATAGTAGACTTCCATGGTAAAGCTTATTCATTATTGAAGCTAAAGCAGAAGCACTTCTGGGAAGTTCTACTAACTTTGCATTCATTTTAAAATAATAGGTTAACTGAAAGAGCAAAAAAGAGACGTACTTCTTCACAATCTATTGGACAAGTTATGTCTAATAGCAGGCAAGAGGATACAGATCCCACTCAAGTAAGGCAAGAAACTAGTTATTAAAATAAAGCCTCTTTCAACATTATCCCCTTCCTTGTACTTTGCTTTTGTACTAATATATATTTTTTAATGGGCTTTTAATTTCCCTTTTTTTGTCTGAGATGAAAAGAGGCCATCATTTCCTATGTGCTTTCTAACTTTAATTTCTTGTAACTTGATTTAGTGTATTTAATGTGTGAGTTGGACAAAAAAAGTTTCGATTTTCACCTTTAAAAGTCACAAGACATTTTGGTTTTTCACTTCTACAAAGTACTTTGAACATCTTTACAGTTTGGAAGGAATTGACAAAGAGACATATCTTACTTTTCACTAGGGAAAAAATCAGTATATTTCATTCCCTCATCTTTTTACGTAGAAAAGTAGCTTATTCAAAATTGAAGCACTATTATTTATAATAATAAAATATTGAAGAGAACACAAATATGTCTGAGCATGTAACTGGTTGTGTGCCTTAGGATATATCCACACAGTAGGATGCTTAATATACTACATTGTGGAGGAGTGATCATTAACCTTGGGAAAATTTTTATCATCTGTTGTCCAATGAGCCAAAACAGATAACAAAAGTTTTTCAGCATGCTGTGTTCACAAGGAATTTTTTCCTTTAGGTTTTCCTAGTGTCCAGAGCACATCATTTTGTAAACAGAAAGATAAATTATTTATAAGATGAACTGAAGCAATTTGTCCAAAGTCAAAGTGCAGTGAATAGGATTGATAATTAAAAGTTAAGATTGTGGTTCTCATGATCAAGACTATTATTCTCAGAATATTCAATATGCTGAAAAAAAGTTCACTTTATGAAACTTTTATTGGAGTTTGATCTGTTTATATATTTAATGATATTCTATTATACTTCTTAATTATTAAAACAACCTTGCAAATATAGGTATAACAATGCCTATCTTAAACAAATGGCTAGCAATTCTAGGCTTATCAATCAATAAATAGTTACACACCATTCTTTAAATTAACTCTTGTTTATTTGTTTGTTCAGAGCCAAATGGAGAAGAGTGTATTTAATGAGCGAACAGGTCAAAGTGACCAAATGGCAAATGGAAACAAAAGGAAGATGAATTTTTCCAGATCTGACAGGAAGGAATTCCATTTCCCAGAACTGCCTTTCACAGTACAGTCAAAGGAGGTGAAAGGAATGGAAGGTATTTATTTGTTATATAGCTTTACAAATATCTAGAGGTTATCTTTTACAAGACCCTTTTTTTGGTAATAAAACTTACATTTTATAATGTGATTTAGGTAAAAAATAGTAATTTGCTATGAAAATATTTTCAGCTGGTGAGAATTTTGATTTTGCTATAGTTAAATAAGGGGTCAGATTTAAAGGAGATAATTTTAAAGAGGGATTAAGAAAACCTTAAAGGTAAATTTTTCATTAGCTCAATATTGAAATGGTAGAGCAGTACTTGAGGAATGGTTTTGGTTCAGTCTATGACCTGGAGTGAATCAGTTTCCTATGTTTCTCCATGATTATTTGCCCATATAGTAGTAGGAATGATATATGTGCTCCAGGCATCCAAGGATTTAGTGATTAAGATTAAATAAACTCATGTACCGAATTCGTAAAATGAAACTTTTCTTTTTGCAGAGTAACTGTTGTTTCTTTGAAGAACAGTGACACCTTCTGAAAAGTTAATGTAATAGCAAGAATATAGTACTTGTACAGCTCAGGAGAATTATCTGATCCACTTAGCAGTTTACACTCAGAATTTTAAAATAAGTATCTTCTTTTAATACCTGGTAAGCTATTTGTAAAGTTATAAAACAATTTGTGACTGGCAGCATCTTATTAGGACAACTCATGATTTGTTCAGTTCCTTTATAATAAACTGAGAAACTGACTTTAGTGGATATCAGAATTCCCATTTGAAACTCTTGAAAAGGAAAGTAAAATTTCAAGGTATGAACAACAAATTGTCATTCTATATATTCTTGCAAAAGTTAAACAGAGAAAAGTGCTGAAGAGGGAATCAAAGAAAGCAGATTTACCTAAAATACCAAATTTACTTAATGTGGATCAAAATCAAGAAAAACAAGAGGTAAAACTTTTTTTTGTTTATAGCTTTTACTAAGGAATGCTGTTTAGAACCCTTGATTAGGTATGTAAATTTAGTTATTGCTACTGGAAAGTTATATAAAAATTCAAAATTCTGTAATCTTTGAAATCAAGAAACAGATATATGTTTTCCTAGAAGACCCGATTGCTAAGTTTTTTAAAGTTATTTTTGGGGTAGTGAATACAGTCCTCATTTGAATGTTGAGTGATTATGTATGTGTGTTATGTGTGTTATCTAATATTGGGTAAGTAAACCATGAGAGAAGAAATGAATAATGATTCAAACATATGGTTATACTGGCCACATATTTATTTATCTTTAGCCTCATGCTTACTGTTTTCTCTCCAATTTATTCCTCCATCTCTTCTGTCCACCTATTGTCTATTTTCACAAATATTTGCTCTCAGCTAGCTGTCAGATAAGCTTATTGAAATGTCCCAGCCTCTCCCCACCAGAGAGTCTTGAATTTTATTTGGAAATATTGAAACCCTCAACATCTGAATAAATACTGTCTAAAGGTACTCTTTTTAAGGGAAGGGAATTGGGCTGAGCACCCACTGAATTAAATCAGAGAGATGGCCTTCTACTCTGAACACTTGTGAGGGCATCAACCTTGCTATCTCAGTTTCTTATATTTTTTAATAAAATTGATTACATTTTTATTAGTAATAAAATTAATACATACCAATCAAGGAAATTTGAAGAAATTTGACAAATAGAGAAACTCTGATCTGAATATATAAGGAGGCATTTCATCTATGTCTATTCAATCTGTATAGCATTCAGATAAAAAAATTATCTGACACTGTTAGATAATATTTTCATAGTGACATTTATGCCTTACTCTTGGCCTAGAACTTTAAGAATTCCACAATCCACTTTGCAGAAAAGAGAGCTTTTTCTAGGTAGAACAAGAAAATGGGATTATCTGGTGTATTACCAGGACTCTACCTGATTTTGTATTTTCTAAATAGAATTTGAAGAGGAACAGATTTTTTTTCTGGTAGTGTTCTTTTCTTTTAAGAACAAGAAGATCATTAAAGGTCATCTTTTAGTTCATCATAAACAGTAATAAGGTGGCTTTAAACTAAGTTTTGGTGACTTACTATTGTCACAGCATATTGAACAGCACACTACTGTACATTTTTTGAATGACTGGGTGAGTTAGGGCTCTTGAGTTTGAGTAAACTAGTAATGTACTGTATGTGTTTATCTCACTGTCCTGTGAGAGCCCCTGGAACTAAAATTACATTCCAATGCAGGAAGAAAGTTCTGTCATTTAAAAAATACCTAAGTAAATAGGAAGGGAAAAATCCCTTCTTCCTCATACGGTGTAGAACTCCTGAAAAGATGACCTTTTTAAGAGTGACCTTGAAACAGTTATAGTTAGCAGAGACAACCATAAGTCATCAGTGATGGTTGTAGTTTATTTGTATTGTTCATTCAAATGCAGTTGTGACAAGGGACTGAAATTGCATATAAAGCTAATCCAAATGCTATTAATAAATTAATGTCAGAATTTTAAAAATTTCCTAAACTTTGAGTTGATAGCTTTTCTATTTTAGAGAACTAGAGAACATGCATGTTTTTAAAAACATAAGATAGGGAATAGCAATTTATTTGTTCTATTCTTGGCTCCACCATTGACTTGTGTTTAAATTATTTCATTAAATCCAGGCATTTTTCAGTTGTACATTAAATTCTTTCAGGCATCTTAAAGATCTACTGAAATAGTGTACACATGCACTGAATAGACTGTATGACTTAGAAACTCTAAATTACTGCTCATGAGTGAGGTAAGCAAGAGGGAAAAGAATCTATACAAAAGCCACCTTCAGTTCTGTTTCGTGATGATAATGAGGAATACTTTGCCAAACACTCTTCCCGTACCTTATAAAACAACTCCTAGGTGCAAAGTACAAGTACTTATTTGTGGCTTTATTTCCTTAGCCAAAGACTCACCATTTCCTCAGTTAAGGCTCCATTTCTATTTACTTTTTAGAATACAGGAAATGTACAAACTGAAAGGAAGGCAAACCTGCCAGATATAGAGTAGAAGACGCAGCAGCTGAAAATTCAGGGAATCCCAGAATCATTGTATGGTTAAAAAAAGAAATATGTGTATATAATATTTTGTGTATGTAATATTGCATACACAAAAATGCCAGCTAGAGAATTCTGTAGATACATCATAAATCCTGTGTAGTTGTGTGTATAATCACCTAAGTTTGTTTTTAAATTTACCAGTCTTTAAATTTTTCATGCTTTCTTGATCTGAACATTAATTTCTAAAAACTGCCTGGCTGGTACATCCTAATAAAACTGCAGCTTACTTTAAGTCATATAATTTTATTTGATGATCTATCATCTCAGTCATGTTTAATAAATGGTTATTCTTAGTTTGGGTTCAGAACATAAAAATTATAAAAGGGAAAGTCTCTAAGTGTGTAATAGTGTGAGATCTCAATGTCTGGGAGCACCAAACATTTCTGAGCAAACAAATGCACTTGATAAGCATGAAGCATGGAATTGGTTCCACACTGAATATTCTGGAACAGCATTTAAACATATCATGAAGGTTGTTCAGGATGAAAATTGAGCAAAGCATTGAAACTAATCTTTGGGCTTAAAACCAGTATTGTTCATCATTTAGTAATTCATGTAGAATATATGTTACATATAATTTAACATGAATACACTCAAGGTTTTGGCAGCATATATTTATGTTCTTATTCTTCGTTCTTATTGTCATGGTTTCTAATTTTATGGTGGAGATAGCCATTGTAAGGGGAAATATTTGAAGAGGAACAAATTTTTTCTGGTAGTGTTCTTTTCCTTAAACTTAAAAATACAAATTGGCAAGTCTTCTCTTTATATTTTATATACAATAGAAATGTGACATGAGCTGTTATTAAGATAGCCATTTGTCTATATTAGCATCATTTAAACTTTGTTAACAAACCATTCACTGTTTTCTTCTAAGAATTCTGTTGATATGATGCTTTAATTTGGAATTATAAAGCCATCTCCTCTCTGCCTGTCCTTTGTTTACCATGATTACTGAGTAGGTAACACATCCTGTCATATGATAGACACTGTAGTTAGACTGATCTCTGCCCTCTGCTAGTCACATAACCTTAGAGTGTCAGTTATTTCCTAGAATGCTCAGGCTTCCTGAAGTGAGCTCTTAATTAAATATCTGACACATTGTTTTAAAAACTGTTTATTATCATTGTATGGTTAAAATTATATTTTATTAGTCACCTGTAAAAGCATTTATAATATTTGTAAAGTATCTGAAAATTATGATATCCAAATGTTAAATACTTTTATCCATTTAAATAGTTACCAGCACTCTCCCAGTTTCCTAGTTCTATATGATAGTGACTTTTATGTGGTGCACACCTTTTCTATTTCATAAAATTATGTGCAAACCAGAAGAGGTGTATTACCAAAATTCTTGATTGTCCTATTCTTCAAAAAAACAATAAAATGGGATTATCCGGTGTTTTACCAGGACTCTACCTGATTTTGTATTTACTAAATAGACATAACAAAGGAAAACATAATTTCTTTATTACAATATTGTAATCTCTTTTCATCTCATAAAATGGTAGATTAGAATTAACAGCTGAGATTATTGTACATAATATACCTTTCTTTCAGACTCCCTGTTAGTTTTAGTGACTAATCTCCTCCAGGAAAACTAAGAGTTGTTCCTGTGGTAGGTTCAAGAGGCGTAAGTCTGCTCATTGCCTATTGCATTTATATATTTGCTGATCCTTACATCAGTATCAAAGGACTGTCTTTTTATTTTTCAATTTCTACAAAAGTTCCTGCTGGGATTTTGGTTGGGATTGCATTAAATCTATACATCAATTTGAGGAGAATGAATATCTTAATAATACTGAGTCTTCAAATCCACAAGCATGGAATAAACTCTCCATTTATTTAGATCTTTAATTTCTTTCTGTAATATTTTATAGTAGTCTTGTGTATCATTCCTTAGATTTATTCCTATGTGTTTAGTTTCTTCACGCCATTATAAATGGTATTTTTTAATACCATCTTCCAGTTGTTTGTTG